TTCCATTGTTCTTAGTATAGATGTAGCCTTCTTTTAAACTTTAAAGAACTAAAATTTGTCAGATATTTTTGTTCTGTGCCAATGTGTGCAGATATGCAATTATATTACTAACTCTAATTTATTTCTCACAAGAGCCTTTTAAAAACATTACCAGATTTCTGAGTGAGAAAACGTTTAGTAAAGAGTGTAAGATTAACCAAGCATGGTGATGCATGCCTTTAACCCCAACGTTTTTAAGGGAAACAGAAAAATAAGAAGTTCACAGTTACGTAGTGAATTTGAGATTGGTTTAGGCTACATGAGACTGTCCCCTAACCCCCAAAATGAAAGAATATAAGAAAATGAAAATGCTCAGGTTTTCCTGCCTTATGTATCCTTTACATAGTATAGTCTTTTTAGGAAAACAAATGCCAGTGAGCGTTTCTTGTTAAGCATATCTTACTGTTAATTGTGTGAGATGGTTATCTCCATGTGTTTCTGCTAACATCATAGAAGCCTGATCATGACCAGGACCCCATTGATGCCCTCTCACAAGATTTGGACAGCTGCCCCTCAACTACAGAGAACTCACAGCATACAGGAAAGGTACTATGCTTTTTCATACTGATTTCTTTGAACTACACATGAGCATGTATATACACATCTACGCAATTTTCACAGTGTAGAATGAATAGAATAATGTTATAGAAGAGTTACAATTCTACTGCCTACAGCACTGTTATTTGGTATATTTCCTTGCCTTTGTCAGTAAACATTTTTACAAAATTGATAGCATTTCCTATAGGTTCTGCATGTGGCCTGTAACCTCCAAAGACAACATTTTTGTTCGTCACATGGTTTTGTGAGTGACAATAAGTCTGTGCTCATTTCTTATGACAGTCTTTGACCGCCTAATCCTTCTTCTGCTCATTTGTTCTCTGGAGTTTCCTCCTGTCCCATCCTGGTGCAGCTGTCTGACTCAGACTCTGCAGGACCACTTCTGGTCTTTGTGCCCTCTCAGGCTATCCCAGCAGCCTTTGCACACTCTCTCCTTGCATATGGTCACCTAGCACCAGCTACCTCTTTCCCCTTGAGCTGGGCACTGCATACAGTAGTTGTGTTGTGCCAGGTTCGTAGAGCCTAGAGACTAACCCAAGGAGTTGACACTCTGATGCAAAAGCAAAAGGTTTCATTTTATTTCAAGCTGGCCAGCTAGGATCTCACTGCATGGCAAATGAGATGCCAACCAGCCAAAAAGAGAAGCTTTTAAAAGGGCAGATCATAAGGTTGAAGGCTACAAATTTCAGAGTTTCCATGGTTACTTAAGGTCATACAAAATACAGAGTAAAGCAGTAGCTATATATTTTAAGTGAGATACATTCAGGCATGGGCTTGCAGGGTTACAGGGTTACAGGGTCTGTCAGTTATTCCTTGGGCTGGGAGGATCTTTAAGACCAGCAATTAGCAAAGGAATGTTAACAGGAGTGGTGGACAGTTGCTTCCCCTTGTCTGAGAGCAGGGGATTAGGCACCAGCCATGGCACTCCTGATTTAAGGAGTTAAATTTTCCTTTACCATTAGAAGTTCCCTTTTCAGGGCCTAAGTTTTTAAACTTTTATTAATTTTAATTTTTGCTCCCTCAGTTGTATATTTGATTTCTATGCCCAGATTATCAGGGTGCTTATATTTAATAACTGCTCAAAGCATGTAATTTGAACTGAGTAAAAAACTAAACCCTTTGTTTTGTTCCATGAATGTATGTTAGTGAATGAATGAAAACAACTGTGTAATTCAGCAGTTGAGGTGCACTTAACCTATAGAACACATCTTGTAAGTCACACAAAAGGAAGTGTGGGTATTGCAGTCTGTTTGCTGTTGTTTTGGCTGCTTTTCAACACAGCTTGGCATCATGCCCTCCACACCAAGTGATTGAATTTACAGACTCCCTCATCCTCCTGCCTCTCTTCTGGAAATGCCTAACTGATGTTTCTGTCTCCTTTCCTTTGCTTTCCTCTATTTTTCCTTGTCTACCTTTATTTTCCCATTCCTTTCCTCTACTCCCCTGTTTTCTCTCCCCTCCATTCAAATCTATTCCTTCCTTTGTTTCCACTTTTTTGGTAAATGTACTGTGCTTTTGTATGCAAGCAGTACAGCTTTCTGTAACAGTTTCTATTGTTAGATTCATTTCTCTGCAACACTGAAAACAGGAGTTTGTTTTGTTGTTACTTTCCTCCATGGCACATAAAAGTCAACCTAAGTAAAGAAAAGCTCTGAATTTTTTATAGCCTCCGGTTTTCTAAAATAAAATTGTAGGTATATATTTGGGATTGATATGAAATAATGGGATATATTAAGCACCAGTGTCACCCACGGTTCTCTCTTATTAGCCTTTTTTATGTACTGACTAAAATATGGGTATATTCAGAGTTATTTCAAAGATTAGTACCAAGCTACACATTTTTATTCAGTTAAGTTGGGGTCATGCAGGCTGTTAGCAAGAATAGTCTGGATTCATCTGGTGACCAGTGTCTCCATAGATTGATGATGGCAGTGGCCTCATTACATTTCCATTGCTTTAGGAGAAGAGCAAGAAGATGGGTTCAAATTCCAAAGCACCCAAGAATGGAGTGAAAACAAAGGATTCCTCCAAGGTAAACATGGCCATAAACATACCATTGTTAGTTTAACACTTGCAAGGGATTAAGATTTATCTGTTGATGATTTAGCTTGTTATTGTAAGCTGTTTAGAGCGGAAAGACTTTTAAGCCATAGCTATCCCCTAGCATGCCTTACTAAAATGAATAGACAGACAGACAAAGCATAGATAGATAGATAGATAGATAGATAGATAGATAGATAGATAGATAGATAGATAGATATGCCCCACTTGGGGGATGGAGTAATGGCAGAGCTGTAAAAAGCACTGGCTGCTCTTTAGGGGATCTGGATTTGGTTCGCAACACCTACAAGTGGCAAACAACCATCTGTAACTACTGTTAGAGGGGATAGGATGCCCTTTTCCGCCCTCTGGGGGCACTAGGCATGTACACAGATATACATGCAAGCAAAATACCAGTACACATAAAATTAAAAAAAAAAAGAAGATTCTGGAAGTTACTTAAGTTGAAGCTTTAAAGATAGGGATACATATTGTATATATGTATATGTAATGTTTTTACGTAACTTGTGCTTTGAAAATATAAATGAATTGTGTTCTTTACACAATTCAAGTGGCATTTCATTCTTGCTTTATTACAGTACCACCAGAGCATGTGATTTACATAGATTTTATAACATGGAAGTTATTCTAGTTGGATTTCTGGTGTTATAATAAAACATTCTAACCAAAAGTACTTTAATGGAGAAAAGGGCTTATTTGGTTTACACTTCCATATTGCTTGCTATTCATCATCAAAGTTTATCAGGACAGGAACTCAAACAGGGCAGGAACCTGGAGGCAGAGCTGAGGCAGAAGCCATGGTGGAGTGTTGCTTACTGGCTTATTCCTCTTGGTTTGTTCAGCCTGTTTTCTTAGAGAACCCAGTACCACTAGTTCAGGGATGGCACCACCCACCATGGCTGAGCCCTCCCACATCAATCACTAATTAAGAAAATGCCCCACAGGCTTGGGTACAACTGATCTTATGGAGGCTTTTTTTTTTTAATTGACCTCTCAGATGACTTTGGATATGTCAGTTTGGCATAAAACTATCCAGCACTGTACAACTGATCTTATGGAGGCTTTTTTTTTTTTAATTGAGGTTGCCTCCTCTCAGATGACTTTGGATATGTCAGTTTGGCATAAAACTATCCAGCACACACTTGAAGAATGAACTAATGTTTCTAGCTTAAAGAGAAATTGTTAGAAATAATTAATTAGGAACTAAAACACATGTTATGTTTCATGTTGGTTTCTTTTTGGTGTTTCAAAAGTCCTCCTAGACAAGTCAACCAAGTCCTCACTGGCTCCACAGAGAATTCGGTTCTGCAGAGAGACACATGCAACACCTGCAACTGGAAGTTGGCTGGATGTCTAGTGAGGAAAACCTTCATTGGTTTAAATGTCAGATCTTCTGTTTTCCACATTAGCATGCTTAAGACAAGAGGGTCAAAAAGCACAGCTTAAAGAGACACAATCCTGGAATGCCAGCATTTCCCAGCCAGATGAAGGGAGCCATCCCAATGAGCTCTTACCTCTTCCCCTATTCCTCAGTAAAGTTAGAGATTTGCAGAGCACACAAACCAACAATTAAAATTCAGAATTTTCACTCTGGGTTTGACAGTGGTAACTTGAAGATAAGCCCCTCCAACAGTTGGAGAGCCCCAAGGACTTGGAAGAAGATGTGTACTTCAATACACAGGAACGAAACAGCCTCAAATGTTTTCATACAATGACCAAAGCTTAGCCTCCCTTATGCAGGAAGTTTGAAAGATACCTATCCTCCAAGAAAACAAGTTTCCAGTACCCACTTTAGATCAGACCATGAAAAATAATGAGAAATTTCCCTCAAGATAAAGACAGAAACCATGTAGAACTAAAGAACAAAAACAAAACAAAACAAACTTACATATCCAGGTAGTGACACACACCTTTGATCCCAGGATGCAGGAGGCAGAGGCAGGAGGATCTCTGAGTCCAAAGCCAGCCTGATCTACAGAGTGAGTTACAGGACAGCCAGGACTACACAGAGAAACCCATCTTGAAAAACAAAAACAAACAAACAAAAACTTATTTAGATTAGAATTCATTCAATATTTATTTAAAATCTACTCAAAAATGTACATATATATTAGTGTCTCCTGAAAGTCAGAGAACAATAAAAAGTAATTAACAAAATAAAAAGCACATCTCCTTAGCATTTCACAGCTTGAATGGTGCTTTTCATGTCTCTAAAAGCCAGAAATACTCTTTACACATTCAAGAATTAGATATCAAAAAGGGCATATCCTATTATATACAGCACACACTTCAAAAGAGGAACATCGATACCAATTCATAAAGAATGTGCCGTATGCCACATTATCTGGATGCCCCAAGTGGCAACTAAAAACACATGTTTGCATCAGGGTCTGCTTGCCATTATCACCTGCACAAAATTTCCAAACATCAAATAATATTTGTAAGCAATTTAAAAGGCATAAGGGAGTTTTAGAGGGTTAAGATAAATTTATTCTTTTTTCAATTTATTTCATGTGCATTGGTGTGGCGTTAGATTCCCTGGAACTGGGTAATCTACAGATAGTTATAAGCTGCCACGCGGGTGCTAGGAATTGAACCCTGGTCCTCTGGAAGAGCAGCTAGTGCTCTTAACTGCTGAGCCATCTCTCAAGCCCCAAGATATATTTATTCTAATATATATAATCATTCTAATTATTCTAATTCTAATCTGGGGATGCCAGATTGCTAGCCTAGGACCATCTTCCACTGAAAATGTATTCCCAGCCAGTACTTATCTGTTATCATAATTCTTTAAATTTTTAATTTACAGCAGCTTAAATAAATCCAGTTCATTTACTTTGTCTATATATTTTGAAATGTTACAAGTGGTTTCCACCCTCTACTCCTAAATCTGCTGGGATATTACACAATTCTGGATTTAATGTTTTAACATCTTCCTCCCTCTTATCTTTGATATATTTGCCATTCTCCCACCCACACAAACAAGCTAACTAATGTGTGTTTTATGAGACTGTAAATGAATCTCTAAGTCATCTTTGTATCCCCTCTCCCATACACTGAACCCTGTACATCTAACATCATTCTTCCCACCCAGCATGTTCTTAGGAGAAAAGAAAGCTAACAGAAGCTACTCTAAGGGGAAAAACCCCACATTAGCATTCTCCCAGTTGTGCAATCCACTCCCTGAATACTCAGAATACCCTACACTATTTTCATGTACCTAAACGATAGGAATAAGAGCCTTTGCTCACTTGAGGTATACAACAAAGGTATAAGACAGAGATATGTAGTGTAACTATTACTATGTGAAATAACAGAGGTCCATTCTAACAGGATGAAAACTCAACTCTACAATGAAAGGCAAATTTGCCTTTCTTACTAGTAGTTCTTGGGCTGGGAAGTTAGCTGAATGACTAAAAACACTTGCTGCTTTTGCAGAGGACCCAGGATTCACTCCAGCACCCACATAGCAGCTCACAATTGTCTGTAACTCCAATCCAGGAGACTCAATAATGTCTTCCAAACTCTGTGTGTAGCAGACACAAATATGACCCACATATACACATGCAGGCAAACACTCATATACATAAATAAAATCACATGGATCTTTTTTATTTTTTTCCGAGACTGGGTTTCTCTATATTGTTTTGGAGCCTGTCCTGGAACTCACTTGGTAGAACAGGCTAGCCTTGAACTCACCTGCCTCTGCCTCCAGTGTGCTGGGATTAAAGGCGTGCATCATCAACACCTGGCATGAATCTTTTTTTTAGGATTTATGTATTTAATATGTATACAGAGTTATACCTGCATGTATGTCTGCAGGCCAGAAGAGGGCACTAGATCTTATTACAGATGGTTGTGAGCCACCATGTGTTTGCTGGGAATTCAACTCAGGACCCTGGGAAGAGTAGCCAGTGCTCTTAACCTCTGAGTCATCTCTCCAGACCACATAAATCTTTTTTTTAAAATAACTTAGAAGTAGTTCTTGTTGAAGAGACTAGAATTTATTCAAAAAGAAAAAAAGACAATGAAAAACCAGGGATCTAACCCTGGCTTCAACACACAACTGTGGTGTGAATTTCATTTGTTAAACCAAACCATGTTACATCATTTTAAAATTAACAAAAAAGTTATATGTGTAAAGTAAGACATTTTTCTGCATTTAAACCATAAAACTTACTCATTAAAAACTGAGGACTGGGAATGGTGAAATAAGCTTCTAATCCCAGTACTTAGGAGGCAGAAAGAGGCAGATCTCTGAATTCAAGAACAGCCTTGTCTACATAGCAAGTTCCAGGCAAGTTGCAGTTTTAAAGATTTGTTTTTATTTGCGTGTGTGTGTGTGTGTGTGTGTGTGTGTGTGTGTGTGTGTGTGTGTGTGTGTGTGAGTGTGTGTGTGTTTAGAATCACATGTATGCAAGTGCTGGAAGAGGCCAGAAAACTGTGTCTGATCCCCTGGAGTTGAAGTTACAGGCAACTGTCAGCCATCCAATGTGGCTGCTGGGAACCAAAGTTGGATCCTCCTCGGGAGCAGCAAGCACTTCTAAACACTGAGCCCTAGCCTGGTTGCTTTAAAGAAATTAAGCACTGTACTTGTCAGAACCAAATGAAGTGATTAATGGCACTGATAATACCATATCAATGTTATTATCAGGATAACATGACCCTCATCCTTCATTAAGTATCTACTATACAAGCAAACATTTTACATGCTGTACAGCATGAAATTGAATTTGAAGTAGATATTATTTTCACTATTTTATAGGTGAGAAAAATACTAAACCACTGAAAGCCAGAACTCAAGCTGACACATAGCTCTTCTCCAAGACCTGTAACATTCCCTACGTTACACGGCTTGCCTCACTGCATCCCTCACATGATTGGATAGTCATTGTAATAATGGAGTATAATTATCTACAAGATTTAAGAGGGAAGGAGACATGGCTAGG